ATAAATATGAGAAAATGAAAAAATGGAAACAAAGTCTTTGTAAATAGGGAGGGATGGAGGGGTTGAAGGGAGGGCAGGGGAAGGGGGAAAAATTAGGAACCAAGAGAGTATGTAAAGGTGCATTTCTCCAATGATGAATGTTATTATATTGTACACCTAAAATGTACCAATAAAAGGATAAAAAAAAGACCATGAAGGGGCAATCTATTTATAAGTAGGTAAACTGTTCTCAAAGAAATTCAAAACCAGAAGTACAGGCATGAAAGTTATTTTTTAACCAGATTGGACTTGGAAAGATGAAAACAATTGTAAAGAGCACAATGAGAGACAAACCTAACTACTGATAACTCTAAACAATCCCTGCTGGAACTATGCAGGTCCACTTATATGCTGATTTTTAAAATATTTGAAATAGAAAAAGAAAAAAAAAACTTCTGAGATGAACCTGGAGATATTAAAAATAAGGAAGTACATGTGGATAATAGTCTCTCATCATTTACAACCATAAAATATACATAAATATATTAGCAAATATTTATCAACCCTTACACACATGACCACAGCCTGTAAATGGTATCATTTGAAGTCAAGAGAAATGTAGGCAGACATGAAGATACTGTATTACTCAACTACACAAGTGTGTTCATTTTGTATTCACCTCCTGTTGCTCCTGTGGTGCAGTCTCCTTCCTGTTCCAAGTGGCTGTATCTGAGGCTGGGGAATGCCACTCCCAGGACAGCAGTTCCCCCCTCCAGGAAATGGCCTATCACACTAAAAAGGCTTACTCACAGTTCTCTTGTATTCCCCCCCCCCCCACAATATATTTAACATACACAATATGTGTTCATCAATGGTTTATCAGCAAGCCTTCCTTTCCATTAATAGTAGGTATTAATAGTTAGGTTTGAAGAGGGTCCAAATATATAGATTGCCAACTGCACAAGACACTGCCCCTCCTCCTAACCTTCACATTGTTCAAGGTAGCCACTGAATATTTACCTGGCAGGGGAGATAAACAGCACAAATGTATCAACTGTCCATCAGTAATCATGGGAAATGAAAATGGTCTAAAACTCCTATTAAAAGGTGGATTGTCAGATTGAATAAAAGAGTAACCAGCTATGTAAGAAATACACCCTGGCTGTAAATAGATCCTGCCTATAAGAAATACATTTTTAGTATAGAGATATAAGTTTTGGAAAAGATTTTTTAAATGTACCACACTAACACTTGTCAAGAGAAAGCTGAACAGGAAAAGCTTTCTTTATATCCAAGTAGATTTCCTATCAAAACTACTCCAGGCAATAAAATTTCATTATGATAAAAGTTTCAATTAATTAGGAAATATACCATTCTGATTATTAATGTACCCAAGAAGCAAAAATTCATAGAACTACAAAAAGAAATTGACAGATTCACAGGTGTTACTTGAGATTTCAATATCCCTTTCTGAATAAGTGAGAGAGAAAAAAAATTCAGCAAGAACAGGTAGACTTGCACAACACACTTCTTACTAAAATGGAATATATTCTAAGATCATAAAATAAATTTTAGTAAGAAGATTAAGTCAAAATGTTTTAAGCCATGCAAAGTATTTTCCCTGAAATGAAGCTATGAAATTAGAAATGAGTAACAACACTATCTCTGGAAAATATCCAACTATTTGGACACTAGGTATCAAACAACTAAATAACCCTGGGTAAAAGAGGCAAGGAAAACAACTTAGAAAGCACGTTTTTCCTACTGGCAAAGATAAAAATACAAGCTATTAAGAGTTTGTAGAATGTAGCTAAAACGGTACTTGAATGAAAAACAGCACTCGTGGTACCAGTGTTTGAACCCCTATCCTGCTCACTGACCTATAACTCCAGCCCTTTTTTCTTTTTCATTTTTACATAAGGTCTCTTTAAGTTGCTAAGTTGATCAGGTTGGGCTGGAACCAGCTATCCTCCTGCTAGAGGTGCAATGAGTTGCTAGGGGAACAGTGATATCAAGGAGATAGGAGGCCCCGCCCCACTGACACTGGCACGCGATGATGTCAAGGGCCTGCAGGCACATACCAAGTGGTCCTTGTGGTGGCCCAGGGCACAAAGGCTGGGCCTTTTTTGTGAGCACAAAAGTCAGCTTCCTTCTTCCAGTGAGCCCCAGTGGCTTGGAATCCCAACTTCCTGAGTGGCCAGCCAGCCCCAGCTCCAGCAGCCAGCAGTGGAGGTATGGGGTCTCCAATGGCAATTGTGTCCCCAGTTCTGCTGCCATGGTGGTTGGGTTGCTCTGGAGGCCTGGTCTGGGCCCACTGTTCCCTTCCCAGACTTGTGCCCAACTCCTCTGCTCTCCTATATGTGTGTGTGTGGAAACTGAGTTTATCCTGTGGGACGGAACCTCAGCGCATCATGGTGTGGATGAGGAAAACTGGTCAATTGCTAACTGTGGTAAAAGTGTAAAATACTGAAATACTTTTTGTTGATATAACCATTCATTTTTGTATTTATGTGAACCCAAGGATATTACTCCAGCTAGATATCTTGCTTTCCCTTGGATCATTTTATCAGTAGGGCTCTCAGTTTCCTAGTGCTGCTGTAATAAACTGAGCAAACTTGGTGACCTGACATGGAAATTTCTTATTTCCCAATGCTGGAAGTCCAAAATCAAGGGGCTGGCAGGAGTGGTTCCTAGTGGAGGCTCTTAGTCTCTGCCCCATCCTTCTCTCCTAGCTTCTGGTGGCATAGGCAGTCCTTGGTAACCTTTGCATGGTAGACTTGTTACTCCAGTATTTCTCTGTGTCATCCATCACATGGCATTCTCTTCTGCATGCATCTGTGTGTCCAGTTATTGCATCGGGGACTCAGTTCACATCTGCAAAGTCAGTGTTTCCACACAAGGTCAAGGTCAGGTTCCCAGGTTCTGGAGTTGGGACAAGGACATATTTTGGGTGGGGATACAATTTAATCAATAACAGTACAAACTTGTGATTTCACTTATTAAAAAATCTTTCCTTTGAAGTGCATTTTCTTTTTATACTATACTATTTACTTTTGTAGCAAGATTTCTCTGGAGTTCTTATATTTGTAGGCACTATTTGCAGCTTTCTCTGACAGTTGTATTTTTAAAAAATTTATATATTAATTGGTACATTTTAGGTATACAATACATTTACATTTATCATTGGGTGTTTGTACCTGAACATGTCATATCTTAGTTCTTATTTTTATCC